GACAATGTAACTGATCCCCTCCAGTATGATTCCAATTTGAGATTGTCCGGTGTGATTAAAAGTAGGATAACTGCAGAACAGATTTCTTCACAAATGAAACATGGAAAATTAAGTAACAAAAAAAGAAAAAGACAAGAAGATCAAACATGAAGTAACTAACTGAGATTGCGTGGAACACTAATTATAAGCAGCTACTACAAAAGTAATTGTGGATTCCTTTGGTTTGGCTACTAAGCAAAAATATCAGTAGTGATTTGGATAAAACCAGGTAATGTTTTTTAGATTTTGGCATAGAAAAACATGTACTTTAAAAATGTTAGAATAAGTCAGATTCTTATACTGATCCAAAATACTGGTTTTAATTGATCACTCACTCTCCCCTTCTTCCTAGAAGGGTATGTTACTCCTTACCGCAGTCTTATGCCATGCCTGTAGTCTTTATTCAGCATAGTGATGACAGTCTAAGTGCCACTGTAACTAGCTAGTTGCACTATAGTAAATATCATCTAATTGTGCTTAAAAACAATAATTCAAGGAAAAAAAATTCCAGCCTGACAAGCAATCTAACTGAAAGCTTTTGCTCCTTAAACTTCAGATATTAGAAGGCACTGATGTTGGGTACCTTGAAGCAAAGCACAGTCGACAAAAAACAGTTCTCTAAGTTTCAGGCAAAGTAATTTGCCTATACAAATAACTATAGAAGCATTAGCACTTCAACTGGCCAGGTGCAATCCAGAGCAAAGAGATTAAAGTTATCTTTGTGTGCAATATAACTATTTCATTAAGACTGATTCGTACCCTCCCGAGAAGTACTGATCTAATATAAAATCACTTTTGTTCAGGTTACAGTAATTCAAGGTTTATATATAACTTGGGGAGGAGAGGTGGGGGGGACAGAGACATTTTGCTACATCAGTGCTGGGATAGCACTGTCAATTCAGATTCATTCTTTATAACTGAAGATACCTGGACAAAATATGAACAATGGAAATGGGTAATGGAGCCCAAGTACCATGCTGCAGACTAACTTTCAATACCGCAGTCACCCAGACATTCTTGCAATGCAAAAGTTAAAGCAAACCCTTCTGACCACGAAGGGTTGAAAGCCCATTATTCTGGAAGGATAAAGCACTTTGATATATAGCAGGAGAGGAATAGAGGAGTTTAGAAACAGAATTAGAGCATGCCCATACTGTCTTTAAACTCCAAGGAGCTGAAAGTTTCTCCATGGGACTAATAATTATTTCCAAGCATAACTTAAGCTTTCAGAAAGATCATCATAATAAAAAGGTTTAAAAAGTTCTCAAGTTCCAAAACAACATGATGAGGCAAAATAGAATTTCGATGCAGCCTGTTTTTTTTTTTTTTTTCAAAAGACTGAATGCTGGGTTTAATTTCCTAGAACCTTACAAGATAGAATCTCCTAACATTAAAATGCCACAAGACATATAGAACTCCCATGTTTTACTCCCAAATTATCCAGTGAGTTACAAGCTAAAGGTTATATGGCCAAGAATCCTGTGTATTTTAATTAAGTCATTCAGGCCAAATGATGATTCACTCTTTGTCAGCAAGACGCAAGATCACTACAGACAGCTCTTACACTCCTAGCAAAATGATGTGGAAAAAAAGCAATATTGAGATGCTGGCCCTCTACTCATGTATCTGCCCAGCCAAAGCTACCCAAAACACCAACCCTCTATAAAACAGTAAGTTTTTAAGGTACTTCATATGCTGAAATGAGTAAATAAGCAGCTAGTAGAATTTATTCATGAAAATATGCAAGCTATATAAGAATTCTAAGCTAGTAATTTTTGCTGAATGAATGTGATTTTAGGTGGTGATAAAAAAAAATCCATAATCACGTGTTTTAAAAAATACATGGAGTTAAGTACTATTTTTTCCCGGAGATTCTTACTCAGACAAAAATTGAAACAGAAGTTAGCTTATAAACTGACCTTCATAATGGCCAAACACAATACAGGTACAACATCGTCCAGTAATCTTCATTTTGGAGTCAGTTCTCCATGTGGTATGTTCCTATTTTCAATAGTTTTCTGCTGCAGGGCAAAGAGCTCTGTTTGAAGTAAGTGACCTTTCACATACTGCCGCTTGGATGATCTATTTCAATGCAGAATCGTTATTTATTGCGCTGGCATTTTGCTATACAGTTTTTACTCCTGGAAAGTATATTGCTGCCTCCGTTTCTTAAATTCTCTTTAGTAGTTCATTATACAAAGGACGAAGTCATACACATATTTAGAGAAATGTGTTTCTGTAGCAAATAAAATCCTCTTTAAAGCAGGGCCAGTTTTGCACTTTAGAATCAAGGTCACTAGCAAGGCATCAAGGCTAGAAGGAAGGCAAGGGAGCAACAGTTTTTAAAAGCACAATGTTCCACTATTCGGTATAATGATTTTACTACACATATCTTTCGTAACTATTTCCTTTTATCACCATATATAAAAATGGTTACTCAGGCACTGAGTCAGTAACAATGACAAACTAGTCCCCAGAGATGAGTCACTTCAAATGAACAAACATTTTCTCCAACTTAAGGAGACTGCATGCTATTAAGACTCAATAGGTCTGACACAAAGTTTAAACAAACAGAACTCTGGAGCTTGGAACAGCTCATATTTTTCTACTACTATAGTTAAGATACACCTAAAAAATTCCATACTGAAGGACCACTAATTGCCCTAACTCCTTTACAGTTTTCTCTGCAATTGTGATGCCCCACTCAGCTTTTTAAAGGAGTAGAGCCCGAATTTGCCTTAGCTATACAGACATACTGCACAACTACAAACTCGGAAGACTGTATGTCATCTTCACCCTTCTCAAAATTAGTAATTAGTTGTCACGCCAAGTAGGGCATTTTACTGAAGCATTGATCCAGATTTTTCTTACATCTCAGAAGAAAAATCGTCCCTTAAATATAGGGACTAGGAAGTCAGGTAGTTGTTCATTTAAGATTGACGTTTCACATTATAAGAGCTAATGAAGCAAAGTAGCATGGGGCCCCGTTCATCTGATTGAGATGAATCATCAGTTTACTATATATCCTGTAAACGTAAAACAAATGATATTGGACACTGTGTCTGTCTAAATTTCCAAATATCTTTCTAAGATCTTGGGTTAATTAGAGCAGAGTTTCATAACTTGTTTAATTGATCTAAGTAGTTCTTGGCAAATCTCACACTGCCATTCTCCTCCACCAGGGAGATGTTCCCCTTCCCTTCCTTAGGCCAAGATGCTTACCTTTTCTTTTAGGGTTAGCCTTCTGCTGGATCAGGTTCCCTGAGCCACCCACCATTACACAGTCTCACATGTAGTAATGCTACTGCCAGGGTACAGAAGAGAGAATGCATGTAGCAGCAGAAAGGAAGAAGAAAATACATCTTGCCAGCAACTCAGACTGGCCATGTATTAAAGCTAGATTTTTCTCCCCATGAAAGGAAAAAAAGGACTTTACCCATCAGGAGAGAAAAGCGATGTGCTGAAATTGCTTTCTATGCTACTAGAATTAGGTAATCTCAGAAAGCCCGCTCTACAATACAGTCTCTGCAGTCACTGTAAACCTCACTTAGTTTTTTGGTTTTGTGTATGGCACTTTCTTAAGCCTTACCCTGCCTCAGCCTCTCTCCTATATCAAAACTAGCACACACCACCACAGTTTGACAGTTCTGGCCACTCTACATTCATGTAAAAGTTTAGAAGAATGCAAGCTACATACAAAATTGGGAAAGTGCATGCACATTGCAGTAATAGCTAGCTCTTCAAGCAAAAGTTTAGGCATTCTTGAAACAATGACCTGTACAGGACTATTAGCCCAGGAGACAGTGCTTACCACTGTCACTGACAGGATCCAGTTAAGACTGGTGCAGTAGGGTAGAGTCTACAGAGCTTCAGAGTTTATCTTCATTCTGTTTCAAAGACATCTTTTAACATCTGAAAACTGAAAGCATACACTAGTTGGTTGGCTGAAAACCTAGAGTCCTCCATTAGCAGTTTATCCAGTGAAGCAGGTATTTAAGGAACTAGCATTTGAATTTAATTAGACTAGCCTTATGTAGTACTATTAAATACATTAACAGACTCAAGAAATTGTATTCTTTTCTATTATTGCGCAGCTTTATTATAATAGTGCATGCATCTAGTAAATGTATGCATTTGAAGCAACAATAGCATGAAATTACATCTTGTTTGGTCATCAGCTGTTATTATATGTTTTGATCTCCTCAAGTGATCAAGCTATACACATGCCTCAGTGGCCAGTCACTGAATTTGTGCGCGGTTATATTCACAAGTTTGGAAACAGATAGCATGCTATGGAATAAGTGGCTTTAAAAAGCAAATTTACAGTTCAAATGGAGCTGTTCTGCAAGTCAATGGACAGGGACATAACCATTTTAGTGAACCTGAAACTAAACAACCCTAAAAAATCCAGTAAATAAGAAACAGAGATGGGGGGCAGTTTCCTGTCTGAAATGATACAGAATATCAAAAAACGGTTTGAGTTAGCAGCCAAGCTTTAACGCCCAGTAAATCCGCACAAACCTAATGGAGACAGGTTCATCACACTGGTGCATGGCAGGAGGATGACGGACAACGGACATATGTCAAAATGAGAGGTTCAGACCAGATAAGGAGAAATTTTCACAATGAGGGAAGTCAAGTACTGGAACAGACTGTACAACAGAGGTTGTGCAGTCTCCATCATTGGAAGTTTAAGACCAGACTGCATGAAGTCCTCAGTACCCTGGTCTGACTTCACAGCTGACCTTGCGTGGAGCTGATGATGGACTAGATGACCTCCTAAGAACCCTTTCAACCTCAATTATCCTATGATCTTAATCTAGCTAAATCCAGTTTTAACTTATTACAGTAAGGCTTGGCATAAGTTAAGTTCTTTGATGCAGCAGCCACGGGGAGAAGATAAAGTTGTTTTCAAAGGCCAATGAAAACATCCGTATATAGGGTAGGTTACCAAATGTAAAGTTGAGTTCTCAAAAGCACACACCACCAACATAAGTTGCCCAAATATATTTATTTGTCTCTTAAAAAGTACGTTACTCTTCAGAAGAAAGACAGCTGAGGAAATCTCAATACATATTAAAGTATCAATCTGGCACATACCTCATGCTTATATTTAAGTAAACATCAATACCATCAGACCAAGCAAGCTAAGATTTCAGAAGTCAGTAGCAATTGAGGCACCAGGACTTAAGAAGCCCTTAAGGCAAAAGGGAACTTCAAAGCCTCTCAGCCAAGCAGAGGCTGAGTTCCAGAACTTACTCAAGAACTGTAAGAACAAGTCTCTGCTTACTTTTGATCTTCATCTGCTGCCAGAAATCCATGCGAGTTACAAGAACATTTAAGCATCTCAGTATACTGAGTTACAGGCTAGTAAGCCAGTTCACCAACTCCAAGTAGTCAGAAGAGCACAGCACTGTTCTAAAATTGAAAGAGTTAGAGGTTGGGATTTTTTGATTCATTATCACAGGACAGCAATGATATTTACTTTTTGCAGCTCTTGCCAGTTTCCAGTATTAGTGCATGAAAGTTTCTGGATGTTTATTTCTGGGTGTGCATATGAGTGAGGTTATCACAACTGTGTCAGCTGTACAATTGCATCCATGAATGTGTTTCACACGTATTAGCTGAGAGCATTTGCCTTAATGGCTGGAGACGCGTTTTTGTTGGTATGTCTATAATCATGCTTTTCCCCTGCCAAATATAATCATTTTCCCATCTTCTTGTTCCGCCACCATCTACTTCACTCAGTCGTGGTGTACGCACTAAGGAAGAGATCTCCTGTCATTGGTCACCAGCCATTCCTACCCATTTCAAGATTTCTATGATGTCTTGATCCAGGAGAACTAGCAGTGAGACAGACCCTCATGATGGGGATAATAAATAGGGACAAGCGTGTACGTGAAAAGTCAGGCTACAGTGGAACATCACTGGTGAGAAAGGAAAAGTTTACAGCAAAGGTGTAAGTGTCTATTCAGCTAGAACCAAGCCGAGTGAGTCCTATTTGGAATGTACCATATGTCCTAGAAGGAAAGTAGATACCAAATGTTGTCTTTGTTCCTTTATAGGGGAGTGTAAACACTATCTTATGTTCTCAAGTAAGAAGAAACTAATCAGACTTAGATGCAGCCACTCAAGAAAGTGGAGTGATAACTCACAAGATACTCAGTTTCATGCTAAACAAGAATATGTAAACACCCACAAGAATCACCTATTCAGAGAACACCAGACACCCCATATGGATTGTCACAACGCAGCACCATAGCAGCAGTTTGATTTAAGGAACAGTCTCGCTGCTCATTCCATCACATTTACACTGAGCAGTGGTAGCATTAGCAGCACTGTGATTTACTCTCTGCTTTCAATGGGTCTAGGTCCAGTTTTGGTTTCCCCACATCATTTTCTTCATTAGGAAAGGTTTTGTAGTTGGCAAGGATGTTTTCCACCAAGAATCGAGCAGCTTCATCTATGTTGATGTTGTCCTAAAAGTGTTGAAGGCAAAGAAGTCAGATCTTTTAAACAAAGGTGTCACGTGCCTACTAAAAGCCGGCCAAATGCAAATTCTTCTAAACAGTCTCATAACCTTGACATAAACAGCTTAAATACATCAGGTCATTTACTCATACACTTGTTTTTCCAAAAAGCTATCAGAAAGTTCTGGTAAAAGTGTTATTCATCCTTATGACAAATGGGATACTTTGACTCTAACCTAGCAGGTGGTCTAGAGATGAACGTCATTTGCTTTTGGAAAACTGGCAAGTACCACTGTGCCTTTCTGCAGCAGGAAAGATAGTAGGCAATTACATTGTTTACAGCAGCATTCCACCTTTTGGGGCCTTTTTCTACTTCTGCTGTAGTTTGGATGCACTCATTTATCTAAAAGGACATTTTCCATCAGCCTCAAAAACCCAGCTGAAGTCAAGGTACCTCACCTAGCCACTCTTCCAAGCATGCATGAGAAGGTGTAAAGTATATTAAAATCCGTCCTGAAGAAGGTGTGTATGTAGGATGCCTAGAGCTGCATTTTAGTAGGGTACCTCAAAGGCCAGTCTGGCCAGTGCCAAGGGGCCCCTGGCTACAGCTTCTGAGATAGCTGGGCCACCTGTTAGTTTACCATGGGGTAGCCATATTTGGAACCACTCCTATCTTTGGCACCAATAGAGATACCATGCCAATGCACTGTTCTGTCTCCATAAGTGGAGATCCACTCTTTATACCAGGAAGGTTAGGTCATGAGAACATATTTGAGCAGTTGCTGTTGTAGTTTGCAAGCTTGTGGTTGTCAGACAGAAACTGCTTTTGGGAGTTTGCACAGATAGACGCTTTTTCCTGCCCATAGCGGGGGAAGATTCTCCTCTTTCTAGGGGGTAGATGTTCAACGTATTTATATCCCCTGCCGTTCTTTTGCCTAATCTACAGCTAGTGGACACTAACATGTTACTGATTACTAGATTGAATATTCAAATACCAATTCCAGCAGAAAGGTATAATCAGTTTAACAGGATTTTTGGGTGGACAGGACTTAAGTATACCAAATCAGTTACTGGTTTAAGAAACTGAAAAAAGCTGTCCTGAATTGCTGATGAGCTGTTTTAACTATGATAACTTTACAAAGCCCTAAGCAAGTCAATTCATAACTGAATCTGCACCAGTATTGTCTAGACCTCTCTCTGCACCAGTATTGTCTAGACCTCTCTCTGCACCAAGAACCTTGTTTTACATTGGCACCTTCAAAAGGTCACATGAAATGCAAGCTGTTACTCCACTTCCATAATACTCTTTATTCCAAAGGTATTTACAATGTTTTTAGGACTGTGTTAAGGTCAATACATAGGAGTGTTAAGGGCAGCTGAAGAGCTGTCTAGCTGAAGCTTCAAGGAAGATGCATAACCCAGAGCAGAATATTAGGATAAATTTTAAGGCTCTTTATACTCAAAAAGGAGGTTTTAGTAACAGATGGGTCGGTTTGAGAGTTACTGTTTGTGCAAAATCAAACAAGTGATTAGCTAATTTAACTTGAATTCCTGCCACTGTGGACCCTTCTTCCTTATTTTAACATGGTCAGGAAGAGACTTGTTACTTTCTTCTTACAACATTCCTCTTGCAGATCTTTTATTTTAAAGGGTTATCTAATCACCAGGAGGTGCCAGAAATGGTTCTGACATACAAAAACAGGAAACACTTTTTGCCAATTTGTCTCAATAGCAGCTAAAGGAAGTGGGCAAGCCAAGGGAAAAATGGGCCTCATGACTTAGCTTATATATGCAGGAATTACCAGCCAGGCCAGCAATTTGGTCCGTCAGGCACACTGATTCTAATAATGAAAGGCTGTTCTAGATGAAAACGACCAGGTTTTAATAAACCACTCGATTTCACTTCTGACTAAACAGCAAGCTTATAAACATATTGGCCAGGTTTGTAGACTAACACCACACAATATATGAAGTTACTCAAAATTATCTGAGTAAAGTGGCTGTCTATCTCAGCTTCGTTACTTGGCTGAGCAATTTGTTCTTCCCCAGTTCGGTTTTGCTATTGCCTGGTAGAACAGAAAGATGGCTTTCTGAAGTTATCTAGCTGGATGATACAAATGAGTAAATAAGCTTGATCACTTCTGGAGTCTTAATACTTCCTACATGCAACATGAAGACAGAGGCTGCAAGTCAAAAACCTACATTTGAAGATTACTCTTTGATCAGTGTTTCGTAGTACTAACATCTAAACCACACGGTTCCTTGACACATGCGTGATCTTAAGACTCACTCAAGTCAATTAATAAGAACTGCATCTTAAGTTCTTATCTAAACCAAGTATGCTGCAAGTCTTGCTCAAAAGCAAGATATTCCACACACCACTTCTAGCTTTTGTTGAACAGTGGAGACCCGGACTGTCAGTTTGTGCCTGAAGAGTTTAATTTTTTTTTTTTTAAGCTCACCTTGGCAGAGGTTTCAAACCACCCAACGAAGCCACCTTCTCTGCAGAACTGGTCCATTTGAGAGGGATTCTGGTTGCCATCTTTTTTCTGGTCACACTTGTTTGCAAGAAGAACTGCAGGGATGGGGCTGCCATTGGGAAGTAGCACTTTACTGTCCAAATCATGCTTCCATTTTGAAACAGCCTCAAACGTGGAGCCTCTTGTGACATCAAAGACCACAAAAGCACCAACTGCCTCTTTGTAGTATACTCTTGTCATATTTCCAAAACGCTCCTGGCCTGAAAGAAAGGGGCAGTGATAAAGCATTCATTTTTAAGTGTTAACTGTAGTCAAGGTAAATGCACTTCAGCGTCAGGTTAGTAAATATAATTAGGAGTCTGGCATTTAGGACTAGTCATCTAGTTCACACAACATTCGCCTGCCTTTACCATCCTGTGTTAGCTCACTGCAAGAGAGCCATTACGTACACCATGCATGACAAGAGTCAGATGCTAATTGAATTGCATTTCTAAATACTACTTTGCAATTATTTTTAACTTATTTGTTAAGTAGTGTTCTTTCAGAGAGAGGTCATGCCTAAAAACGCTACCAGCACAACTAGACCCAAGTCATTCTTTCCTCAAGAGGAAGCTTCTACATGACTGAAGCATAAGCCTGGTGTCTTCATATTCATTATAGGTTTTTTCCTCAGGGATAAGCTCAAAAGGAGTTAGCTTAACAGTTAGAGGTAAGCCTTTGGCTTCAGCTTTTAAGTTGGAGACCTTCTCTGGAAGAATTTCCAACTGTGTTCTACAGCAAGCAGTCCCAAGATTTGGTGCAAGATGACCAGGATAGCTAAAGGACAATTATTCACAGCAAAAGTCCTCTATATTCTAAAGAGTGGAACTTAATCCACTCCATGCTCTCACAGAGGGAACAAAACTCTTCCCTTCCATACTCAAAGCTCAAATTTCAAAGCAGTACCATTATGCCAGATTCCTCAACCAACAAGCCAAGCACCAAGCCTACATCTCAGTGACTGTCACTAGAAGAGACAAATTGCTTATACACTATTTATGAAACAGTATGCAGAGCTTGCATACATGTAAATCCCGTTCTCTCCCTAGGCCTTTCCAGGCTTGATCCTCATACCTAAAAGGCGGTTTTTGTGTATCTGTACTGGTAATGGCTGTACCACTTCAGACAAAATCTAGTTCCTATTCTCATGAATCCAATGCCATTTGAAAAGAGTTTGGTCAGAGGGTTTTGACTACCTCTGCAGATCAAGCGCACTGTGTCTGAAGAAGCTTTATCTTTAGGTTCCTGTGCTTTTTCAAAAGGAAGCTGCACAGAGTCAAATTTAGTGATATTAAGCCAGTAATTGTATATGGTACCACACATGCTATGAAGAGCTCCTTCTCATTTTCCCAATTTTTTAGTTCCAAATCCCACCACAGATTGTTGTTACATGGGAATACTTCCCACTGTGATTTAGCAGTTCAGATTGCACTTGTGTTCAGTTCAGGGAGTATATCCCTTCACACCACAGAACTGGCCCACAAAGCAAAAGATGTGCTCTTGAGGTGTTTTTTGTTCCCAGGGAAAAGAACACACACACACACACTCTAGTCTGGCTCTGAAATAGTCTAGAAATGGACACCACCACTTGAGATACTGGCTGTCATGTTACATAAGACTATACATGAATATGAAGCAATGAGAAGGACAGTCACATTAGTCATCCCAAATCAGTTTGTGGGGGTTGTGTGGATTTGTTTTTACCTCCTTTTTTAAGCCAAGTTTTGAAAAACTTGAAAAGCTTGCACAAAAAAAATTTACTGATCAGTTGCAAAGAGAGTTGCTAGATAGTTATGGGAGAGAGCTACAGAGACACTGCAGTCACTACATACGAAGCTAAAATATGTGTAGACTCTGGAAGAGCTATCAGGCAGTCACCACTTCTTAGGCAGTTGTGCATGCTGTAGGTGAACGTGGCTGCTGGTCAATTATTACAGTGAAGGACATTATCAGTGACTGAATCCCTTCCTCCTTATCCTCCTAGGCAAAACAGCTTTAAGAGGAAAAAACAGTTAGCAAGAGGGACATATTAGTCTCCCATAGCAATAACCCTTGCTGAAACCCACACACCAGTGCGGTCTAAGATTTTGTTTAAGAAAAAAAAAGATATTTGAAAGCTGTATGACCCTTTTACTGCTTCAGAGAAGGGTGGCAGTTATTCAGGTTTGGTTACAATATACATTTTGGTATAGTCCTAAACACCAGGAAGTTTTCCTTCCCCTAAAATAACAAGAGGCTTAGCCTTGGTCAGAGAGCCTGGTCATCTCTAAGTTTGTCAACTCATTCCCCATCTCTAAGAGAAATTCCATCTTTATCATACTTGGGCTTCCAACCCGCTTCCTCAGTCTTCTCACATACCTAGCCCAATGCCTTCATATTGGATGAGCTGGATACAAATATGACTGGTAATCACTTGAGATTGCCCTGCAGTTGCTTCCCCTGACTTTGGTGGTTTCCCATGCTCCACTATCGACAGCCTGTGCAAAGCTTTAACACACATAACACCCCATGAGTAAGCCAAATCTGCTATGCCAGAAGGGCAACATTTGTCTTGTAGCTGAGCGCCACATCAGACAGCTAGCAGAATCTCCTCATGGAATCCTGACCAGGGGAGAGGCCACTGCAAGGGGGGTTGTGATAATCAGTAGTTTCAGAAACTCTGGAAAAATACACAAGCTGAGGTTGACTTTGATAGCTTTTCTCCTCGTTGTATGATATGACAGGACCTCCAGTGGGGAAGTAAACCTGCAACTGAACTGTACTTTGCTTTGAGTGCAGTTTGTACTCTATAGCATCCACCTGGAAAGCAAGGGCTTCAGCTCTCCAGGAGCTGCATTACTTCTAGCTGGCTTTGTTGACAGAAGTCAAGTTACTCCAAGTGTAAAACTTGTAGTGTAAGAACAAGTAACGTTAAACTACAGGAGAATGTGTTAAAACTCAGGTGAAAGCAGACAGAAGAGCACAGGCCCATAACACCTATGAGCAGGAAAGTCTAAGTCTTTACTTAATGCATTTCAGTTTTACATAAGGGGATTTGATACTCCTTCTCCCTGAAAACCTCCCACAAAAGCAGACATTACTATGTTATTTCAAATAAATACCCTTTAATTGGCCACATACGCTCCAGTATGGAGTACTGCTCTGTTTTGGAGTAGCCCTAACTCCATAAACAGTTTTGGGTTGTTATATGGAGAGCTGCTTTCACCTGCATGCTAGTTTATGACTGCTCTTTCATACCATCTGGAGTCTTATGAGGAAGGGAATGTTCTTTTCATTCTACAGAAAGAGATGGCAGAACATGGCCTAAAAGGTTTTTTTTTTTTTGTGGTAATAGGTATACGGCATGAGGCAGGAAGAGAGCATCCAGCATTAACTCACTAGAATTTCTGTACAATCCAGTTACCACTGACAACACGCATGCTTTAGGTTGAGCCTATTGAGGTGGAAGTAGGAATACTCTGATAGCCTTTTGAAAATTTAATAGGACTTCCAGGCAAAGCTTTTGCAAGTGCTTTTCTGCTTGCAAAAAAGCTCATACACAAAAGCAAACTCTAGAATATCTCACTCCTCCAAAGTCTGGAGATCTGAACATCATTCTCTATATCTGTGATTAAAACAGTCAAAAGATCCCATCTTCAGTGTGCTCAGTTCAGCCGATGATTTGTCATTCCCCTTCCTAAGGCCAGAAGAATTTTTGCTGTAGTCATTTCACCATGTGAAAATAATGTTGAGCAGTACAGAAAGTAGATCAGACCCCCAGAGGAGAAAAGGGTAAAAGCGATCAGATGAAACTAGACTTAAACTCCAGTGCATAGAACCATGAAAGGAAGGGGACAGGAACATACCTACTTGCTTACAGCAGCAGTATGAAAAGGACATTACAGGATTAAACATAGTGGTAGGTCTAGTTCCTTGACATAAGCCTAATGGTACCAGAACGGCATCCATCCTGTGTTTCAGGGGCTCAGGTGTAGATGACTGGCTAAGCCATAGAGCAGTACTGCAGATCAGTGGGTTTCTTTAAGGACACGGAAGTGGCTGCATGCAATGCAAAGTTCTGCATTCTCTAACCACACAGTTTTCACATTTAAATGACTTCGCACACTTTGTCACCATATCGTCCAGTAATTGCAACAGCATTACATGAAGTAATTGCATAATATCATACACTGGGAACAAATACAGTTCCGTACAGCACAATGATAGCAACTAAGTTCAGTTTAAACCTACATCAGAGCTTAGGAGCTTTCCTTGCTTCCCAGGATACATTTTGGAAGAGCCAAACTCAAGCTAGAAACCACATAAAAAAAAATTACAGCCAATTCTGTCATTGCTTGACTGCAAAAACTAAAGCATTTAAAGGACAAAGAAAAGTTATCGTAAGATTCAGAAAGTGCAAGCTTTGCCTTAAAGTAGAATTAAAAAGTTTCTACAGCAATCCTTCCTAGTCTAAGGAATAAACAAGGGAGTCTCATTTATCACTGCAGTAAGACTGATCATTGTGGCAGTTTTGCTTCCGGTTAGCAGGAGCTACCCTGTGCTCCTAATATTATTTCTGCTCTTAACTCCACTTGCAAGATGGAAATTGAGGCAAGAAAAAAACAAGTAAGACCTGCAAGCAACTGCTGGATATACATGATATTGAGTCTGTCAGGACTCATTCTCCCAGATTACTTACCATACCTAAATGCAGAATTAGGGTCTTAAAGTAGTTTATGCAAACTAGATGAACTTACTCACAGAAAGCAAAGTGATCAATCTGCAAGAAGCTTCCCCAGCTATATTTTTGCTATGAAAGTGACAGGTTTAGCTGTAAAAAAAAAAAAAAAAAAAATCAACACCAACAGTAGAACACAGTTCACCTACCTTGTAAAAACTAAGCTTAGTCTACACTGAAACCATACAGCTCTGCCAGAAACTAGAGTTTAGTTGCATTTAAACCCTTAAAGTTTCTTTATCAGGAGTAATACTACTGGACAAAGTATAATGAGTCTCTCTGATGAGACTGACAGTTCTGATATCTTCCTGAACTTATGTCATTAAGGAGGAGCAGGAAGATGACCCAAGGGTTATAAAAAGCCTGAAAACTGGAAGAACGATGGAAGAAAAAATTCTTTTGCTTAACTCATGTTAGTTCAAGTCTTCTTTGACAGGCTAATCAGCTTAATGGATGGCCAGACTCTGATATTTGACTTTAACAAATTTGACAGCTCCACATCAA